ACGTACCGAACCGTGATTTTTGTGTACCGTTACACCCCTACTATTTTGGGTGTATCACAAGAGAAGACCAAACTTTTAGTTTAAAAGGCTACTAGGTGAACCATTCAGAAAGTGTTCGTAGAAGGTCATGTGAAGGTTCATTTTGACAAAGTATGACATTAGTAAGAGTTCAGTGATTCAGAGAACTGAAATATTAATGATAATCAATAAAAATTTATTCATTAATGTGTGTATATATATTTATGTATATATATGTGTGTGTGTGTGTGTGTATTAGGGCTGGGCGATAATCGCAATAAAATTTACGTCGATAACGATGATTAGCTGTGGACATTTTTACTCTGTATGGATTAATCAAACAGTCTGCAAATTTGGCATCATGCCTCAACTTTGCTGTTGCAGTATACACAAACGGTTTCGTCTATCGACACGAAATCCATAATATTTTGTCGGCACGGTCTGGAGATGATATGATTCGATTTTGGTAAAAATCGGACAAATTGTCTAGGAGAAGTTTGAAAAAGTATGTTTTAAAAGAAAATAAAGATGGCGGACAGGAAGTTTGGCTGACTATGGCAAAATTGGCATCTATTTTATGCAAAGGAATCTATTAGGACCAGTGTCATTACAATTGGCAAAATTATTCAAAAGTTATTAGCATTTTTGGAAATTTTGTTAAAACTTTTTTACCAGAAGGTGGCGCTGCCCCAAAACTTTTTGAGTACCTTCAAGGCATGGTGACGAGTTTATAAATACCCGAGATTTGAGTTTCGTAATGGGACAACAATGCATTCGTAAAGTTCGCAATGCATTCGTAAAGACCTCTGCACTCCAGTATGGGATCCCTGCACTTTCGGCTGGATACATTTCGTGGAGTGGATTCCAGTCTGCATGGAGTGGATTTTAATGTTTTGCGACCTGTACAGAGATTCGCCCCACAGTCATTGGTCAAATTCGAACTTTTCAACACTCAATCCATCAATAATAAATCCACACTGATTGAAGAACACATCAGAGAGAAAGGACTTGACTTCATGTGTCTGACGGAAATCTGGCATCAGCCAGAGGTTTGCTTTGCCCTAAATGAAGCTTGTCCCCCTGGCTACAGTTACTTGGAGGCAGCTCGCAGCACTGGCCGTGGTGGTGGCCTAGCTGTCATTCACCGACAGGACCTGGAGCTGTCCCCATCGCCCTGCCTGCAAGATCTTCTTGTGAGTGTCTTGCATTTAAATGTAAGCCCCCCTTTCCAATGACTGTTCTCCTTATCTACCGGCCCCCTAAACCCAACTCTGCTTTCATCCCGGAAATGTCTGATCTCCTCACAACACTCTGTACTACCTCTGGACCTACGATAATCCTGAGAGATATAAATATTCATGTCGACACCCCCTCACATTCCAGGGGACACGCACTCGATTTGGTCATCTCTCACTCCGCCCCCATCAGCAACCTACAGGCTTATGATCTTGGTGTTTCAGATCACAAGGTCGTGTCAATGGAGATGCCCTTTCCTTAAACCCACACCAAACCAAAGCGACAGATCCACTACAGAAAGCTGAAAAACATCAATGCGAATGCCCTGGCCCAGGACCTTCAACATCTCTCCTCCGGCTTTACTGACTTCCTTTCTGTTGCTGACTCCGTGGATGTCTACAACCAGTCCCTGAGCAGTCTTCAAGACCTCCCCTTAATATCAAGGGCAGTCTCATTCACACGCTAAGCACCCTGGTACACCTGCGAGATGCGAAAGATGAAGGTGGCTGGGCGTGTCCTTGAGCGGCGGCTGAAGGCCTCTGGACTGACTGTTCACAAACAGGCATACAGGGAACAAAAGAGGGCATATGCAGAAGCTCTGAGGGACGCACGGTCCAGGTTCTATTCCACTATCATCAACAACAGCCCCGGTAACTCCAAACAACTTTTTTTAACAATAAACCACCTTCTCAAACCCCCCCTACTCTCCCACTATGAGACCACCGAGGAGAGGCGCAACATGCACATCACTTTTTTCAAACAAAAAGTATATAACATCCGCTCACACCTCTCCGCCACTGCTGTCCTGCCCATCCCAACGGCCGACCCACCGTTTGAGATTGTCCAGCCCCTCTGTTCTTTCTCTGATGCCACACAGGAAGAAGTGGAGGACGTCATCAAAAGAATTAAGCCGTCCACCTGTGCCCTTGACCCTTTCCCTTCAGCCCCGCCAACATCTCTGCCATTTCTCCATTCATCACCAAGATCATAAACCACTCCCTCCTGGTTGGCCATATCCCATCGACGTTAAAAACTGATGTCATCAGTCCTCTACTGAAAAAAACCACTCTGGATCCAGAAGTTCTCTCCAACTACAGGCCCATTTCCAATCTTCCATTCCTATCAAAGGTTCTGGAAAAAACAGTTGCAGCACAACTTCATATTCACCTCAAACACAATAACTTGTTTGAAAAGTTTCAGTCGGGTTTCCGCCCTGGCCATAGCACAGAAACAGCCTAGGTCAGGATCACCAACGACCTCCTGATGGCAGCAGATACTGGTTCCCCATCTACTCATTCTCCTAGACCTAACAGCTGCTTTTGATACAGTAGACCAGGGGCGTTGCTAGACATTAAGCTCTACTGGGGCACAGGCCCCCCATTGGTTGTCTGAGGTAGCAAGCGTAACTAAGGAGGGCGGGGCTTACCGATAGATAAATGAAATTTGTTTGTTTCAAAAACACCATGCTCGGTAGAGTAACTTAGGGCGGTTCGGGGGCATGCTCCCCCGAGAAAACTTGGATTTCTCGGACCTACATATGTGCATTTTAAGGTGTTTGAATGCCAACAAATTGGATAACAATAGCTTTAAAATCATGTTACACGAATTTTTTTTTGTGCCATAAAAGGCATGAAAATAGAAACCGGAGAGAACTTTCTTGCACATTTGCATTCTTCTACATTACACAATGTTAATAATGAATAATTAGCCTTTATATTTTTCAAGAATTTACAATTACATAATTTCAATAAATCAATAAAGAGTTAATACTATATAAAATAAAGAGCATGTACAGTATATTCTAAAAGAAAACAAAGTTCCCCAGCCAAGTCCAAACGAAGTTAATTTATTTGTTGAGCATTAAACTGTAGGCTACCGCCTATGCTTCATTTTGGCAAAACGGTCAATCACTTGACTCTGACTCAATTTTACTTTTAAGATTATTTGTATTATTTAGAAACTTTTGTTTCGTCATGTTTTCATAGCCTACCTCGCGTGCCAACACCGGACTTCGGTGTGCTCAGATGTGTGCGCGCTGCTGTTGCTAGGAAACACAGACGGGCGCGGATTTCAGCTTCTGTTTCTGTTATGCAAATAGATCATTTCTATTACCCTATTATATAATTTATATTAAATACACTGACAAATAAAATAAATTGTTAAACTCAAACTTCAGATTTACTGGGGCACAGCAGATTTATACTGGGGCACGTGCCCCAGTAAAATGGGTCTAGCAACGCCCCTGCAGTAGACCACAACATCCTCCTCCACCGCCTGCAATACACCATTGGAAAATGTTCACAACTGGTTTATCTCATACCTGACTGGCAGAACCGAGCACGTTGCCCTGGGCAAAGCAAAATCACACACTCACAACGTCACCTGCGGTGTCCCTCAGGGCTCTGTGCTGGGCCCCACACTCTTCTCCATTTACATAGCCTAGAAATCTAGACGCACCCTAGCGGCAGCGAAAATTATTTCGCAGCCAGTGTGGTCTAGCAACTCTCCATAGGCTTTTGAGCTGGAAAAACCAAAAACTGGTCAGGCCAATCACATCGTGTAAAGAGTCGGCGGGCGGGCTTAACACAATAACGGCACAGTTCATGACGTTCCGCGTGATTTCCATAGGTGATTTTCCTGCTACTTGAAAACAATGAAGATGCAGCGGTCTTTCGAATCGGCTTTGGCCGCGACTCTGGAGGACTTGGAGTTAAGAACGTCACTCAAGTCATTCTTAAAAAAGGAAGATGTGTTCGGATTTTTGCCGTCCTGATACGGCAAAAGTTTAATATATCAATTAGCTCCGCTGGTGGAAAGACGCATGGGACTCACTCATCCACAACCGTTCGTTGCTCTGGTTGGTTGTAGCGTCATCCTATTGCGTGCAGAGGGATTTTGAAAGGTAACCGTTTATCCCGCACCTCGGATTGAGGCATGTCAATGGAGAGTTCCCAGACCTAACATCTTGATGTAGGTCTGGCATGCCAGGCTACCATTTACATGCTTCCCATTGGCAAAGTCATTAGCAGACATGGTATATCATTCTATTGTTATGCTGATGACACACAGCTTTATCTCAGGACAACCCCCGCTTCTTCTGCTCCGTTGCCAACATCCACACTGACCACCTGCCTGGAGGAGATAGAGACGTGGATGAAGCTCAATTTCCTTCAGCTAAACAGTTCCAAAACGGAAGCCATTTCAATTGGCACACCACATCAGCTCCGCTTTTCAGCTTTTACAGCGTCTTATTTGACAAAAAAATACAAATGCAATGTTTTGTTGTAAATTGATTATTCTTAATTTGATTACATTTTAAAAACTTAATTAAATTGGTAAAGTTTATTTAAAGTTGTATTTAATCATAAAAAAAAAAACAAAAAAAAAAAACAGAATTTAGGGAAAATTGATTTCACGGGGCCTAAATTAAAAGGTAGCCACTCTGTGAAATTTAATTGTGAAGAAACAAGTTTACATTTTTACATTCATTCTCAAGGTCTAACAAATATTTGGAAAGCATTTCCTACCCCATTAATGGTAAATGAATATTGTGATAAATATCATGATATATCAATATCGTATAATATGGAAAAAAATATTGTGATAATATTTTTGGCCATATCGCCCAGCCCCATGTATGTATGTGTGTGCGCGTGTTATATTTTAAGGTTAAGATCTGTTTAATAAAAGCATTGAGGACTATATACTTGAATGCAATTGCTAAAAAAACGCAATCTCATGTGCAGGCAGTGCAAGTATTGACATTCCTGTTCTGAATATGCTGATATCTGGAGAAGCTTCCATGCTGGAGGTGAGCAGATTCCAGTTTAATTACATGCAAAACGTCCTCAGTCCTATCTCTTAATTCTCTCTTACAATGTTTCTTCATTTCAGGCATTAGATATCTCTCTGAAGAATTCCATGCCCTGGTTGGTCCTGGCTGGTTCGGGGGGGCTTGCCAATCTTGTGTGTGACATCGTGGAGAACGTGCAATCTGCTCCGATGCCCTCAACTGGAGGAGCAGAGAAGGAGGAAGGGACTCCCAACATGGAGCTTAGAGAACGATTGGCGGAGAAAGTAAAGATATACTTTCCTTCAGAGCAGGAGATGGACAAACATGTTGACAGGGTAAATGTTACACTCTTTATTCGATCATATAACATCAAAATACTAAAACTGAATTGTTTTTTGTGCTGTTTTTTCTTCTTGTTGCTTGGCTGGTACCTGAAAGGTTTTCAGCATCTACCAAAACAAAGACCTCATCTGCATTTATAACGCGGAACAGGAAGGAGCGGATGATTTTGACACTGTGATGCTTAAAGTCCTCGTTCAAGGTAAACCTTAAACTGTTTATTACAGTGTTTCTACATCTCTTCAACTTGGAACCCCTTCGGTCTACAGTGGACCTATTCATTAAATATTTTTCTGTTTATAATTTTTGCTCTCTCTTTGTGTGTGTGTGTGTTAGCGAGTAAAAAACATGCTACGGGCAATTCTAATCCCTATACTGATGAGTTGAGGCTTGCTGTAACATGGAACAGAGTGGACATTGCCAAGAGTGAACTCTTCAATGGAAACATCGACTGGAAGGTAGAGGATTGTGGGAAATATACTGTAAATGAGCTTTTAAACTAGGGCTAGTTGTCGAATGTTGCTGTACTTTAAACAGTACAGCAGGGCTCTTGAAAAGCCAGAGTCAATAAACGTGTTAAATTGATCAAAAGTTACAGTAAATACATATTCAGCACAGCTGTTTTCAACAGTCATTATAATATGAAGTGTTTTCTTGAGCAGCAAATCATCATATTAGAATGAGTTCTGATGGATCATGTGACACTGAAAATTTCGCAAAAACTCCCATTTATCGCAAAAAGGTTTTTACGGTGGCATGAGGTGGTTTTTCAGGCAATTCGAAAAAGTAATATTTCGCAAAACTGCCATGGAAACAGTTTTTGCGCATTTACAGGTCACGTGATGTAGATGGCGTGGTATGTTTGGACAGAAGACGAGACAGTTCTTTATTAAACTCATAAAAGACAAAAGAATTACAGTAATACTGGATTCTAAACCTCAAAGAAATGGCACAATCAAGAGCTTGAAGCAGATATAAGTGAGAAACGCCTCATATGTGTTTCTCCCTGTCTCCCTGTTTTGTGTACCTCATATATCTTTCCTTACCATTAATGCTTGGATAACACACCTACTGCTCCTTCGATTGAAAATAATGGCTAGGCCGATGGCTGTGATAAACCTACCAACATCCGTTGCCATGATTGTTGGAATGACTTATCGTGAGAGGAAAAAAATACGTTTTAGTCGCATAACATCGGTTAATGGAAACACCGTAATTTTGCAATCGTTTTTTATCGACATTAAAACGCAGGAGAAAGCTTATGTGTGTAGCCTGCATTGTACTCTCTTAGTTTCTGGATGCTGTTCTCTGTAACATGTGCTGCTCACAGATAAACATTAGGGTTATAATGTTCAGGAACAGTGGTTAAAATCAATTTGAACCACTCTAAGTTTGTCAGCATTAGATATAATAATGAGTTTTGTAAACGGAGTGGAAAACTGTCTTCTCTAACGCAGCTCAACCAGGCCTTGTCCGCTTTTTTGCATATTCAGAGGGCGGGGATTATTTAAATAAGGAACATTATGACTTCACAAAGCCTAGAAAAAACGCGTTGTAGTCCAAACGAGTCGTCTGTTGTAGTTCTTGGAAAGTGGATTCTGTTAAATAAAATCTCCCTTTGGAGTGGACTTTTAGCTTTGTAACCTTGCAGATATTTTTTTATTCTCAAACAGCAACATTACACACCAACTAAAGTTGAGAAAGTGAAAAAGCATAATAGGACCCCTTTAAATAGTAATAATATTTCACAATAAAACGTTTTACTGTATTTTTGTTAAAATAACTGTAGCCTTGGTGAGCAGTTTTTCTGGTATGTGGTGATAACCTGGTATTTCTTTCCTGGTTTCCTGCAGTACGATGATCTGAAAGATTCCATGACTGACGCGTTGATGAACAATAAACCCCAGTTTGTGCGTCTCTTCATTGATCATGGTCTGAACATTTTGAGCTACCTGACTTACGAAAAACTGGAAGATCTTTACAACTCCATCCCTGACAACAGCCAGGCCGGCAAACTGCTGCAGCATATCCTGAAGGAGCGCAGGAACGAGTCCAGCAATGATAAGAAATACGGCATTAGCATTTATGAGGTGAGATCTGAAAATTATTGGACAAATATCGGCAGATTAATTAGTGTATTACCCAGTAACACCCACTGGAGGGCATAACCAGGATTTCCTTTGCTACTCGCAAGTTATTCTTACCAGTTTTGTACTTGTATACTAAAACAGTGATATTAAAAGACCAAATCCAGTAAATACCTTATTGATAATACATACTATATACAGGCAAGCAAATGAGCCCAGAATATGAACGCAACACGCTAACTTGCATCCTAAGCAATTTCCCATTGCAAATGATGTTTTATAAACAAAGTTCGGGAGGAGCACTCAACTTGCAATCAACTTGTCATCAAACAATTATCATGTCTATCCCATCAGCACGAGAGGAAGCATATATATATTCACTCTGTCGACTCACCTAACATTCCTTGACAGTTTCAGCATCCCTCCACCACCCCGACTCCTCACTCTTGGCTTATTCTTTCACAGCCAGGAATACGGGGGGAGTACTCTGGGTTCGGGCCGAATTCCTAACCCGGATCCCTCTCCTCGGACAGCACGCCAAATACGCATTTATTCTATCTGACTTATTTGTAAGTGCGAACTCGTGAAACCATTATAAAGAAAATGCGTATGTGGCTTAATGCATTAATACTGGTGGACCAAATTCAGTATACACCTCCTTGTTGATAAAAATACTCTTTACAGGCAAGCAGATGAACCCATAATATGAACGAAACATGGAAAGTTTCAATGTTAAGGGTTTTCCCTTTGAAAACTATTATAAAGTAAACTCATAAAATGAAATTTATTGTGTTGTGTTCATATTCTGGGCTTATCTACTTGCTTGTAAAAAAATAATGCATCATCAATAAGATGGATACTGAATCTGATCTTTTAAAATCACTAAGTATATTAAGCGATTTTTACATTAGGCATTGTAGAATGGCTCACTGTTTTTTAATGAAATGCTGTGATGAGGGCTGTATAAGGATCATAAGTGGCCAAAACTTGCAGTTTGTTCACATATCTTTGCTTTCCTCCTTTTGAGCGGTAATTATTTGTGGATCAAAAATGTTGCAAAATTGACAGGCCTGTGCTGCAGTTCTTTAGACGTTTTGCCCGCTAGTCATGTGACTGAAAACTATGAATACCGGGTATGTGGTGTTGTAAATTTCACCGATTTCTCACCCCAGGTGTCCCAACTCCTGGAGGATCTGTTAGGGGAGGTATGCCAGCCCTTCTACAAGTCTGTACTGATGCTGGACAATAGTTCTACCAAAAGAAAAGCTTTTAAGGTACCAGACTTATTACCTAGTACCTTAGAAATGTATTATGTCTAGTTTGAATCCCCCCATAAAGGAATAAAGAAAATACATTTTCTTTATTTTTTAAAGAAAAATTAAATGTCTTTAAAAACCACCCTTCAGAAAGCATGCCAGGTCCTGCAGGGGGAGTGTAGCTATCGGAAGCAGCAATGTCAGCACGCGTGGTTATGTCTCTTCATCTGGGCAGTGCTGCAGAACCGCAGTGAGATGGCCATCTTCTGCTGGGAAATGGTAACATGCTTCTGATGAGTTATTGTCACATTGATGAGTTATTGTCACATTGTTAGGGATGCATCATGTATCATTTATGGAGTGATTTCAGAGATTTTATGTTCTGTCATTATTGGTCATATTGGATATTTAATTGTTTTATTTTTAGATTACATGAAAGCTCACTTAAAGTTAATATTCAACCAAATGTATTAACTGTAAAAGTAAGATCTTTAGCAAACCTCAAAATAAATATCATACATCTCGGGTGTGTGTTTGTTTATATTGTCGCAAGATGCAAATTGTATTATTGCACAGTTCTGCATATAAAGATGGATATATATTTTATCCAACTTTATCAACATACATACAGTATACTCACTTAAAGCGATATATATTATTTAATAAACCTCAACTTCTTGACTTTTTTTATTTTTAACTTTACCTGCATAAATACGGTAAACTCACATAAAGCAATTTATACTACCGGTAATAGCAAATCTCAACTGCCTGACTTTTATTTCATCATAAAATGTAACCGTTTTCCCCCAGCTCTTTATATAAAGTTGGATATAAAAGTATGTCCAACATTATCTGTTTACATCCAGCAATATTCACTATATAGCAAAAAGCAACTGCTTAATTGCTGCAAAATTGTTATCACTGTATTATTTCTAGATTAACTATATTATCAGCAAGCTCTAATCTTCTAAATGCAACTATGTGGCATCAACATCATGATTTTCTGTAATGCTTTGAAACCCGTGTATTGAGAAAAGCTCAATAGAAAATGAATTTGTAGGATTTTATTTTTATATATGTATAATGTCTAAACTTTGAGCATTTAAAATGACCAATTTTAGTTTTACTTACAGTATTTATTAAAGGGGTCATATAATGGTACATGCACTTTTACAAGTTGATTGTACTGAAATGTGTGTTGGCAGTGTCTGTACACAACCATCATATAATGATAAAAATCCATCCAGTGTTTTTGTTTTAATCTCCTTATATGTTTTCCCCTGCCTCAAATCGAGCCGTTCGAGCCTGTGACGTCACAAGCTCGCACGCCCCTCCCACGATTGTTGAATGACAGCCGGGTTTCAACACAGACCCGCCCTCGCTCGTGAGAGCTGTCAATCATAGTCTGCGCGGTCGTTGATATGCTGGAGCACTGTCTATGAGCAGAATGGCGTCTAAGCGATTGTGGTGTTCTGTTCTTGGGTGTAATAACGAACACAGCAGTCATTTTAATGTTCCTAAATCCGAACCGCCGAAGACGCAGTGGCTGAGTTTGTTTTCGAAGGGTATATATTCCCCACGAGCAACGTCAATGCTCTCATGTGCGAATCATTTCACACACCAGACTGCTTTATAAACGAGGGTCAGTATAAAGCTGGTTTTGCTAAGAAGCTGCTCCTGAAAAAAGATCGGTACCAGAAATTCGTGTTCCTGCTGAACCTCTAGAACAACTGAAGTGAGTGTAAGGTTTTATTAAACTTTATATTAATATTTATATTAATCCTTGTAAATCGCTAGCTGCACGCTTCACAATGAATGCGTCTAAGGTTTACACTCAGGGAACATTACGGCATGTTTTCTATGTATGACGTTCTCAATATAATGCATAATCCCACGTTTATACTGAACAACGTGTTATGGTTATTGTGTTATTGAGTTACAAACGGTGTAAGCCAGAGCCGGCTCTGGTGTACACAGAACAGAGAGGCGGAGTCAGCAAAGCTCATGATCATTTAAAGTCATATACACTGAAACGGCGTGCTGAAAACAGAGCTGTTTTTTACCAGGTAAAATAAGTGTTTTCTTACAATACTAATGAGAATTTTTAATTAAAGTATATTACAAACTTTTAATTTAGACCCTAAAGAATCATATTAGCTTGTACAAAAAATGGCATTATATGACCCCTTTAATAGAAAATATTGAGGAAACCTTATTTGTCAGCCGTATATAAAAAATTTATAAAAGGAAATGTTCTGCACAGCATCACATGATCTGTCCTGCTGTTCTCTCTCAGTGCGGCGAGTCTGTACTGACGGCTCTGGGAGGATGTAAACTGTTGAGGGAGCTGTCTAAACAGGGGATTGAGACAGAGGCCAAGCTTTCCATTAAGGAGTTGGCCCAGAAGTTTGAGAATATGGCTCACGGTATGATGCGTGAAAATATTAAGTTTTTGGCATCTTATAAATGTTCTAGTGATAAATCCCTCTGTTTTCTTCTCTGGCATTTTTTGACAGATGTGTTTAGCATGTGCTACCAAACCAAAGCCAGTGATTCCTTTAAGCTACTGATTCGCAAGTCTGATATGTGGGGTGACGCCACCTGTCTGAAGATGGCCATGGCTGCTGACGCCCGTATTTTCTTCAGCCACGATGGAGTACAGGTCTTTTGACATGCAAACAGTCATTAATAACATTGTTTGTTTGGTTTTGAACAAGGTAAGTGTTTTTTCCCTTTTTTTTTTCTTAAACGGTCTCTCTTTTTTTTAGTCGCTGCTGTCTCAGATCTGGTGGGGTCAGATGGAGAGAGGAACTGAGCTCTGGAAACTTGCACTGACTATGGTCATTCCTCCTCTCTGCTACACCAACCTCATCAAATTCAGGTCAGGGGCCGTATTCACAAAGAATTTTATCTTACCACTAGTAGTACTCCTAAATCGCACTAAAATATTTTAGCTAGGAGTTTTCTCTTATAAGTTATTCACAACGCCTTTCAGACCTACTCTTAGTAAGGAAAAATGACAACTCCTAAACTAAGAGTGAGTCTTCGTTGCTATGGATGACGTCAATTCTCATGCACGAGCTTCCTCGCAGTGAATCACGGTGATTGGTTGTTAGATGACAGGGCCATCATGTGGAACATAACACGGATGCAACAAATCATGGAATTATGACATCTAAATATGTCTGTGTCCTACACAAAATAATAATAGTAATGTCATCGAAATGCATATATAATAACATGTTTGTGCAGGCCCCAATGAAGTGTAATTCTAAAAAGGCAGAGAGAGAGAGAAAAGTTGTGAATTCAATTAAATCAAGGTAGCCTAATACCCTAATGAAAGCCGCCACTTGCCTAATAATGAAAAACGACACTTGCATTAACACTTGCTTGGTTAATTGACATCCTATTAGCCTAAATAGACTACTTAAAGCAAGGAAATGTTGCTCCTATTGAAGTAATGTAATAGTTGAATGACGGTGGATTATGAACTCACCAAAACGGAAAAGAAAGCCCAACTGGACGCAGGATCAGTTACTGCTGCTGGCCCAGTTGGTGCTGAAAAAAAAACATAATAAAAGGGAAATTCGGCACTGGGATATCAAGCTAAACTAAGCGTGAGAATGGGAGAGGATTTGTTTGCAGAATGCAGCATTCCCGCTTGTGTCGTGGACGACTGCGAGAGGCGGTGGTATGCGCTACAATCCTTTGTGAATAGGTCTTAGTGAGTTAGGAGTCCTCTCAACTTCATTTAAGCTGTCCCAGACTTAGGTGCTACTTTTAGGGCTAAAATGCTCCGTGAATTACTCTTAGTGAAAAAAATTAGGAGTCCTAAAGTTAGGAGTGACACGCCCATTATTTTTAGGAGTTGCTCCTAAATTCGCCAGTTAGGAGCGACTTTTAGCCTTAAAATTCTTTGTGAATACGGCCCCAGTACGTCAACCATGTAAATTTCCGGTAACACTTTATAAAAAGGTCACATTAGTGAACATTATTTAATGGATTAACTAACATTAACAATGGTCATTTTAATTCAGATCATCAGTATTTATTATTTGTTAATGTTAGTTACCGGTAATAAAAAATACAACTGCTCATTGTTAGTTGATGTTAGCACAGGTCTGTTAAATATTATTAACCGATAAATCTTTTGCTTTTAATGTGTTAGTAAATGTTGAAATTAACATTAACCAAGATTACTAAATGCATTAGAAGTATTTTTCATTGTTAATACCAATGTTGGTCATTTTATTTGACAGGATGGAGTAAGAGACAAACCAACTAATGCCACAAATCATCACAGAATTAAAATCCATTGCTAATATTTGCAGAAATTTGACCCAAACAGAACTCGAGTATACAAAAGTCTGACATTCCATACATATGATCCAATGTTGTGGGGAAACTGAAAGAATTTTGAACAAACTTAAAGATTACATTTTTAAGGTTTTTAGCTCCCATCTGGGTCAAAAAAGACCTGAACAACGTTTTTTCTAGTCTGTTATGCTCACCTAGGCTGCATTTATTTCAAAAGTGACAGTGAAGAAATTTATAATGTTACAAAAGATGTCTATTTAATAAATGCTTTAATACATTTAATAAATAAATGCAAATAAATGGTGTTTATTTTACTGTGTATCAAATAATTCTGAAAAAAGCATCACCGTTTCCACAAAAATGTCAAGCAGCTGTTTTCAACATTGATAATAACAATTATAAGAAATGTTATCCGAGCATCAAATCAGCAAATTAGAATGATTTCTGAAAGATTAAAGTAATGGAGTAATGATGCTGAAAATTCAGCTTTGCATCACAGGAATAAATTACATTAGAATAAGTTACAAATAGAAAACAGTTCTTTTAATTGGTAATAATATTTCACAATACAACTGCTTTTACTGTATTTATGTTTAAATAAATGCAGCCTTGGTGAGCAGAAGAGACTTCTTTCAAAACATTTTTTTTATGTTTCCAAACATGACAGGTACTGTACAACACTCCCAAGAAAACATTTTGTTTTAATTTCAGAAAAGAAACAAATGAAGTAACACCTGGAAAATAAATTAGCAGAACATCACACAGTGATGTGGAAATCACTAACTACCGTAATAGTGAATAATTAACTACTTAATTTTAAACTACTATTTTTACAAGCTGTGAGTTTAACATTTGAAATGTATTGCTTATTAGGAGTGACCGAGATTTTTATTTCTCACAGGAAAGAGGGTCACGCAGAAGACAAATCGGTGATGGTACCTCCACCCTCAGCAACAGACTGTCACTACACAGAAACTGTCTTCTCCTTCAATGACATCAAACACCAGTAAATGAGCTTTTATTTAATACATCATGCATAGATATAAGATCTCTGTAGACAAACATACCTTTATCTGTGATCTTCTTATGATATTTAGCAGTGAAGCAGAGCAAGAGGATCATATCAGACGACCAACAAAAGGTTTGACTGTTCAGTTTGAAACCCATGGGTTAATGAACAATTTTGTTCATTAATTGTCATTTTTTGGTCTTTTATTTGATCGGGTTGCCCTTATTACTTTTCCCTGTTTCTTCCTTCCTGTAACAGGTACCTTTGCACATGTCAAACCTAAGCAGCCCTTTCTGTTTTCCCGCTGGAGGCAGTACTGGTACGCTCCTGTCACTTCATTTATCGGCAACGTTCTGATGTACTTCCTGTTCCTGTTTCTGTACGCCTATGTGCTATTGGTCGACTTCAAGCCACCTCCCCCTTATGGTCCTGCCCCTTCGGAGTACGTGCTGTATTTCTGGGTTTTTACTATCGTGTGTGAGGAGATTCGAGAGGTAGGTGCCGACACACGGATGCTTCACTTGTAAAAAAATCAGCTTACAAGTGATCAGTGTTGGGGTTAACGCATTACAACTAATGCCAGTTATGTAATCAGATTACTTCTTTCAAGTAACTAGTAAATAATGCGTTACTCTTGAATTTACAACAAAATTATTTTTTTAAATAAATAATTCAAGTTACTTTTGTTTTCCCATTTATTGAGTGACAGCTCTCTTGCCTACGTGTTGGGTAAGTGCAGAGGCTTTTTGTGCGCAGTGTAAACATGATACTATAGTTTTTGAGTTTCATAGTACATGTTATTGTAGTTCTAGACTACAGATATCAATCAACTCAATCAATCAACTTTTATTTGTTAAGCACATTTTAAAACAACACGAGTTGGTCAAAGTGCTGTACAGATCTAAAAATTACCACTCAAACAGTACTCACACAAAACACTGGGTTAATATCCTACCTTGACCAGTATCCTGAAACCTAGGGGCAATTGTAGGCTATAGCGTATAGGTGTGTTTTCAGCATAGATTTAAAGCATTCTAACGAGTCACTGGCTCTGATATGCAAAGGAAGACTGTTCCAAAGACGCGGGGCTGCCACAGAAAATGCACGGTCTCCTTTGGTTTTTAACCTTGATTTAAGTGCAGAGGCTTTTTGTGCGCAATGTAAACATGATACTATAGTTTTTGAGTTTCATAGTACATGTTATTGTAGTTCTAGACTACAGATATACAATACTCACATACAGTATTCTTCTAAATGAATAAAACAGGGAAATGCAAACTCAGAAAACTACACAAACCTGCAATAATTAAATGTTAAATAACACAAATATACTTTATGTATGTAATCTCACTTTTTTTAACCAATGTCTTTGCTACTGACCTTTGATGATCCAATTCCACCATACAAATCTGTAAAAATCACTTTAGTTAAACATCACATTTGTGTTTCTTAGTTTTTTTGCAATCCTATTCTTCTGTGATCCAGAATGGGCAGCACCCTCTACTGTACAGGCTTGAATTTGCATTTCCTTCAGCCTGAGGCGATTCATTTGACTTCTGGTGTGAAAGTTCCTTCACTTTTGACAAAAATAGAACCTTTTTTTCTTGTTATTTAAAAACAAACAAGCGAGCTCATCCCAGGTGAGAAAAAGTAACATAAAAGTAATTACTTTTAATAATTAAATAAATTAAATAATTAAAAGCATTACTTTTCATAAGTAACTAAGTAATGCAATTAGTTACTTTTTTAGGGAGTAGCGCAATATTGCATAATATAATATATTATAATATAACATAATACAATATAATATATAATACAACATTACTTTTAAAAGTAACTTTCCCCAACACTGCAAGTGATACAAAGAAGTTTTCCAGTTGAGTATAATGATTAGTCCATCCATTTATTCTACTTTCTCCTGTCTTTCATTCCCAGGCGTTTATTGTGGGCAGTAAGACTTTTACTCAGAGTTTGATGCTGTATGCTCAGGATGTGTGGAATAAGTGTGATGTTCTTGCCATCTCCCTCTTCATTGCTGGTCTGTGCTGCAGGTAATGGACCTTGACAGTCCTGCAAGTTTCTATAAAAAATATTAAGCAGCAAAAAAAAATTTAACAGGGCTAAAAATAAGAAATGTTTCCTGAGCAGCAAATCAGCATATTAGAATGATTTCTGAAGGATCATGTGACACTGTAGACTGGAGTAATGATGCTGAAAATTCAGCTTTGATCACAGAAATAAATTACATGGTAAAATATATTAAAATAGAAAAGTTATTTTAAATTGTAAATAATATTTCACAATATTACTTTTTTTTTTACTGTTTTAAATCAAATATATGAATATATACACAGTATATTTTACTATACTATTTTTTATATAGACTTTTCCTTTTTTTATATTTTAAAAACACATTATACATGAAGACTTTTGAAGTATTGCAGACTCTAGTAGCAGGCTATGGTTTCACAATTTAGCAGTTATTGTTTACTAAATATTCATCATACCTGTGTGCATTCTACTACATTTTTGTGTAATCATCTGTATATGTGTGCCTTTGTGTCTGTCTCAGGATGTTCAAATCGTCATACAGCATGGGACGTGGTATACTGTGTATTGACTACATGGTCTTCACACTCCGACTCATTCACATTTTCGCTGTTCACAGACAGCTGGGTCCCAAAATCATCATACTTGTCAAAATGGTGAGACAAACAGAAAAATGTTGTAGTTTAGTGAAAATTAAGCATTCAATTAGTACCCTCCCTCAATACGAACACTGGTTCTGCCTAAAGAGGTAGAAGGACGATTTAGACTTTTAAAACTTTACAGCTCGGTTAAAATGTTTGGTAACACTTTAATATTATGGTACACATATTCACTATTAGCTTGTTGCTTATTAGCATGCATATTACTAGCATATTGGCTGTTCATTCATACTTATAAAGCACATATTAATGCCTTATCCTGCATGACCATATTCTACAACTAATAGACCATTAACAGAGTTTTCATAAAATAATGTGTTAGTAATATGCATGTTAATAGTGAATATGTGTAGCTTAAAGTGCCCCTATTATGCTATTTTAAAGTTTCCTACATCAGGTTTACATGCATCAAAGGACAAAAAACTGTTTAATTTCCTCATAATATACATTTGCCCATCACCACATTTTCAATGATTCTCAAACGACTCGTCGGATGAATCAATCTCTCTAAATCCCTCCTTCCCGCGAGCTACTCTGCTCTGATTGGCCAGACAGTCTGTTGTGATTGGTTTGCCGCGTACAGCACGTCGAAAACAAAAATGCACATTGCCATAACAACGTCAGCTCTGGTTGTCCTGAGGCTTCCTACAATATAAACTAAACACAGTAACGAACAATGACGTCGATTGTACCATATCAGTGCGAGCTCGAGTCCGAAGATGAAACATTGGAAGAACTATTCATTAAACCCGAACCAAGGACAACTTGAGTAGGACGTTTCTCAGTGATACGCTACTCAGTTTGAGGTTCATTATGAGATGTTGCAACTGTAATTCCTCACCATCAGCATTAACAAGTGCATGTCCATCAACAAACCCATTATTTGACTTATTTATTTATCGAATATTTTCCTAATATTATATTCTAATATAATATTCTTCTAATAACAGTGCATGTATGCAATGCATACATTAGCCGAGCGTGAATGACAGATGTAACATAAACGTTGGTAAAACATATCTTGCTCCATGCTTAATCTTTCCTCAAAGTAGTGAGAACGACAGATAATCTGAATAAATAGACACAGTTTTAGGCAATAGTGTCCCACAGCTGATCAGCAGAAGTATTTCAGTAAGACAGTGAGTTAGCCAGTTAGCAGGAGACCTACACAATATCAAACTCAAAACTAAGTATTTTGAACACCATCTTTCGAGAGCAAGCGGTTTGCGAATCCTGCATTTAACTCTGAGATTTGAGAAGCTGTCGTCAGTAAAATAGAGGGAACATCGCACAAGTTTAGGATTACACTGCTGTGATATCGTGGTAAAGATGAATTTTAACCACTGATTCTTCACATGCTCGTCCTTGGGCAGTGAAAGAAAACTGGCTTTACCTTCACATTGTAGAGCACAGGGTCTTCTGGACATGATGCTGTCCAGTGTCCACAGGAATCAGCTGCCGTGTTTGGGGTTCAAGTTTTCCCTGGTGTCTGCGCGCGCAATATGCTAATGTTTCATCTTGACGTCACGACGAAACGGCCTACTGTATGACTCGTTTTAAAAATGAATCATTTCATGTACTCCGAGTCGGCTCTTACTTTTGAAAGACAATAACTTTATTTAAGGTGCACTTTTAGATTTAAAACTTTGCAGGATGTTTTCATTCACTTAGAGCTATGTTAGACACTACATGAAAGGTCATTTTCAAAAATCCATAATAGGGGCACTTTAATATAAAGTTTTACCATAATTTTTGTTTGATATTAGGAATTTAGGGACAAGTTGAAATTATGTTCTGTGGTAATCAACAACATCTCACAGATTCTATCTATAGGGTTGAAAATAGGTTAATTGATCATTAATTCTGTTCAATAAATGTCTTTATTGACTACTTTAGATACTAAAATCCCATTGTGTGTCGAACATATTCCAGATGTAAAAAGTAAAAATAATAATAATAATCTGTACTTGAAAAGTACTGGAGAGCACTATATCCACTAAATCACTCCTCTTTCTTTTTTTTGTATGAATGTTTTTGAACCACAGATAAAGGATGCGTTCTTCTTCTTATTCTTTCTGGCGGTGTGGCTGAGTGCGTATGGAGTGGCCAATCAAGCTCTACTATATACATACGATCCAAGCCCTACCAGAGCGTTTCGTCGAGTATTGTACAGACCATATTTGCATATATTTGGACAGATCCCTGTGGAAGAAATAGACAGTATGCTCACTTCTGATTCACACTTCACTTTACACATTATATATGTTATATATATTTTGCAAGTTTTTGTTAGCATCCACTGACTATATTGTATATTTGTGTGTGTTAAGCTGGCAAGTATTGGGATAGGGACTGCACAGATAATGTCACATTGATTGATGAAGGGAAAGAGCCATGTAGAGACACCAGCCACAACTGGCTTGTGGTCATTTTGCTGGTCATCTTCCTACTGGTCACCAACATCCTACTTATCAACCTGCTTATTGCCACATTCAGGTATTCTTTTTCTGTTCATTCATTCATCTGGTGTATGTAGCCATCAAATGATCCATGTATTTCTCTTCTCCTTGTGTCTGTTTGTGCAGCTATACATTCTCTAAGGTTCAGGAGCGCAGTGACACATACTGGAAGTTTCAGCGCTATAATCTAATAGTGGAGTATCATTCTCGTCCAAATCTCGCTCCACCCTTCATCATCCTATCCCACATCAACCTCTTCATCAAAAGAAACCTCCGCAAGGTGCCATCTACCAAAATCCACCATTTTGGTAAATGATTGTAAACATTTTGGGTAAATTTGGTGTATTAGGATGTGTTCACACTTGTTCAATTTAGCATCAAAACAACGCCAGTAATTCCTCCATCACACACAAACAAAGATTTGCTGCAAGAAGATGCGGTTCTAACACCTGAACTGTAATGGGCAACATCGTGATGAGAAAAACCGGGCATACTTATAGCATTCTGTCCTATTTAGGGTATATGATATTATCTTGTGACATCATGTCCTGTTTTTGGTTCGTTTAGATATCTCTGGTCCGTGTTGCGTTCATATACCAGTCAAACCGCACCATAATTTGTTTGGAAATGAACTTAAACCCACTTTTTCAGGGGTCTCGGTCCGCTTATTTGGTGCGCACCAGGGTTCGGATGGCCGCCCTCACACTTCAAATGAACCGCACTAACAAAGCAATCGCAATCTAAGCCGTTATAATCAAACTAAACATGCCTAGTGTGAACGCACCCTTTGATTATAGTTCAAAAAGCAGATTTAAACAAAATATGACGTAATGTAAATGTTTGTGTGAATTTGTCTCTCTTTAATAGCCGTTCATTTGAAGGGTAGAGAGGCTAACAAGCTGGTGAAATGGGAGACCTTGCAGAAGGAGAACTACCTGGCTTTCGAGAGCAAAAAACAAAAAGGGACCGACTCTGAGAGGCTGAAACGCATGAGTGCTAAGTGAGTCCAACTTATAGACGTTTTCCTGGATAGACGTACTCTTTCAACTTTCTCACAAGTCTTTCACAAAGTGGATAAAGAGGGGGTGAAACATGTCTCAAACTAAATTATAGTTGTATAGCGATCTATGAAGCTCTGTTCACACAGAAGTCACTTTCAAATCGAGCAGCTTTCTGTTGGGCCACCCCGCAATTCAGTCTGTGCTGGAAGCTTTTTTGCCCTCACATGAATTTTCAGATCACACATATTCATTGTGACTGGATTTCACCCACAACATTTCGTCAAGCAATGTAAATGACCACACTATTATTGTAAACAAATCATCCATGGATGAAGGACATTTTTTATATATAAAGGTTGTGACCTCGTAATGTTTCATCAAAATGTCATAACTGGACCTTCCGGTGAAATTGTCAAGCTCATACACAGCTGCATACACTTTTGAGTGCCACGCCCACATCTCAACACCTGATGAATAGAACCAAGTCCCTGCCCTACATTTTTTCTTTTTCGAAATATGGAAGAAAACATATGTTGCTACTTCTTTTCCATTTGGACAGATGTGATTCGTAAACCTTTTACCTCAGATTAATGTGGAATGATGATGTTTTGTTTCAGGGTGGATGGTGTCCTCAAACAGGTTGGCGAGATCAGAGATGTTGACCGCAGACTGCGAACATTAGAATCAGAGGTAAAGACACATGATGTGATATCTGTATTGCACTGTATATAGACTGTAGAAGCTGTTGCTCAAAGAGGAATACTCCTCTATATGCAGATGGAGTTCTGTACATCTTCTCTTCAGTGGATGATGGAAGCTATGTCTCAAAGCAGTACGGCGAAGGGCACTAAAGCACACCCGACACGCAAAGGTACACCTGTTTGTTTTGTCGCAGTACATACATTTTAACTGTGTTTCTCAACTGGTGGGTCACAATTTAAAAATAATAGCATCAAGTATAGCATGGAAAAAATATATATATATATAATAATAATAAATTATCATTTAAAGCTGCAGTAGGGAGTTTTGAGAAAACGTTGACTTAGCCTGAAAATTTGAACAAGCACAACTTACAGGTCCCACCCCCTTGCTCTCTGCTGCGCTACAGCCCTCCCTCCACAGTTCGTCCTCCACAGCGGAGCCTGTCGTGAACGCGCAGGCTAGTAAACAGGGCCACCGATAACAGCGGATAAAAAGTTATATGGCATATGGAACATTCACTAATAGGGACTAAACATCAACAATATGCTTTACATTGACTATGGCCTGCCCATACTTTGACTACAAACTTGGTCCTCAAATCATTATGTATTTTGCAATAGCCTACATGTAACTTTATAACGTTGCACTCTTTCTATAAGTTATAAATAGCTAGTAAGATAACGTTAATATAACGGTAACTAACGTTACAGTATGTAAGTAATTATTCTAGCGATATATAATGCTAGATAAGGTGTGCTAGTACATTATTTCAGCAACATGACAAGCCAGTGAATTAGCAGGTTTCAATTGTTGCTTAGCAGAGTGCGTGACATTTTATCTACATGTTATGCGGCTAGAGTTTTGACACCGAGTCAATGGGCTCTGTGTAATTCTTTCTTTTTCGCTTGTTTATCGTCATCAGTCTTTTTCCTTTTACCTCTTTGTTTTATGAGCAGGTGTCACTCGAGAATTGGCAGTTTAGGTTGTTTCTCCGTCATAAGCACAGCTGCAGCACGCCGGCAATCTTGAGTTTGAACGACGGCTCGCGCTGTACAAGAGAGGGGTGTGATCAGCGCGTACACGAGCGTGACTGACACTGCTAAGACACTCCTCTCGGCTCTGATTGGTTGTTTCTGACCGGGAGCGTGTATTTCTTGCAAATGGCAATAGGACCACTGGGAGGAGCCAGAGGAGCTTGATTTTTACACAGATTATCTGTCTCATATTCTACTGTCAGGACATAAGGACAGTTTTAGCAAATACATGTTTTCAAAAGTTACCTACAGGAGCTTTAAATAAGGGGCATCGAAACGTTTTTTGTTAGTCCAACAACTTACTCTTAAAATAATATGAAGAGATTTGAAGGTAATATTTGAATAATTTAACAACACATACTCATGTTTACGGTTCTCTGATATCGGTTAATGGTCACATGATATGAAATTACAATGATAAAATATTGAATATTTTTTTATTACTCCAAGTGTTTTATTTGGATTGTTTTCAATTCTTAAATTATTTAAAAGAAATGTTATATAAAATATATATAAAACTATTATTGTTGTTAGTTTTAATTCTAATAATAAAAAAATAAAGATGTATTACTGGTGTAAATTACAATTGTACTGTAAAATAAAAACATAACTTCTATTTTACACAAAGTTATAATACTAATATTTATGTTTTAAATTCCTCACTCTCAAGCCTTTAACATTTCTAATAATAAAGCTTTTATTTTGGAGCATTACTGGTAAAATGCCATAAACTTCTGTCTGAAAATGATGCAATGTGTAAAATACAATTAATTGTAACTACTCGTGCATAGTTAGGATAGCATTATAAATATATTTATCAGCTTTTAAAATGAAGGATGTTGTTCATGTAAAAAAAAAAAAGTGTCCAATCACACCAGTTGAGAACCACAGCTTTAGTGGATGTATTTGCCATTGGCTGAAAATCATTTTAATTTCCAACATGTACTGATGTTGTCACATTCGTCTTTCTGTCATCAGCTGTTGTTTCAGCCTCCCTTGAGAAATGAAGAGAGCCTTTTCTGCTGTATTCGTCTTCTGTCTCTCACTCTCACGGACACATTCAGCAAGAAGCCACAGAGAGCCAGTTAAAGGAGGGGTGATGACTTGTCAGAAAACTACTCTCATTGTTTTGGTTTCCATTTTTAAATTGTTCATCCTGGCCTTTTCATGGTTCATCCTGCTCTTTCGACTTGAGTACTCCCAAATGACCTGTCCTCGTTTTCCTTGTGATTGTGGGAATGACTGGAGTAAAAGAACAGGGCACAGAATGTCCTTGAACTTACTGTACACTGAAAGGTCAGTTATGTCATCATGTTACATTCATAGATTAATCAAATAATAGTTTTATTGTCGGTACATTTTTTAAAGGTCAATGTGATTGTATTCATAGAATCTGATTTTACAGAGCTATAACATTATTTAGAAGAAAGCGACCTGGCTTAAAAACTTCAGTGGGAACAAACAAAGCATATTAGAACGTATGCATGCAACATGTTATGCCTTTTTTTCGTTGCAAACAACAAAAACAAAAAAAAAACACTTTACATTTATTGATTATGTAATCTTGGCAAATAATGTTACAGTACATCAAATAAGCCTAATGTTCAAAAGGATATTTTTTAATATAAAATCCAATAGAAGAGAGCGCATCTACTGTTAGTTTAACTGCTTCTATTGTTCGCTTTGGATAAAAGCATCTGCTAAATGAATAAATGTAAATGTAAAGGAGAAGTATCCAGTCAAGGTGCTCTATGGTCTAGAGTTTTTAGTAGTCCATCAAAGAAAACTTTAGGATGACCATGGCACTCTTAAAAATTAATACATACAAAAAAACAAAAAACTCTCCAACGCGTTTCGGCCCATGCCTTCCTCAGGGAGAGCAACTCAACATCTCAGCCACAACTGCAAGCAGTTTCATTCATTAACACATCCGATTACTCAACACTTGTCATGTGATTAACTTCTCTTTACAGCATTAAACATTCACCAGTACATTTTCAAACTCAGAAACACCACTTCATAAATCCAACAAAAAAAAAAAGACATCACAAGAAAGGAGTAAAATCCAAGTCTTCATTCAATCCTGTATATAAATTAGCCTTTAATTTATAAATCCAAGATTTAGTTTAAGTTCTCTATTCCCGTTCCTAATAGTACTGTTCACATGATCAACATTCTCAGGATAGAAGGGTTACTGTTATGCATTCATTTATATTTATATTCTATCCTGATGGCATATTTATGTTCAGCCAATCGTCTTTTTGTTCTTCCAATATAAAATACTTTACATTGAGGACATTCCAGTCTATAAACTACATGAGTAGTTTGACAATTAATACTATGTTTAATTTTTTTAAACATTAAAAAAATGTTTTGTCTGTACATCTAGAAACGTGTTATCTTGTACAACATTATCACAATGATTAGAGTGATGGCATTTAAAGCAACCCTTAGGTTTAACCCCTAACCAGGAGCTTCCTCGAGTGGGCGGGAAATGGCTATGAACTCATTTGTCCCCTATGGTTGAACTATATTTTGGAAAAAAAAAACCTCAAAACTTATCATTGGAGGATCTGGAAATATATTTCTCAAAAATTCATCACTTTGTAAAATTCCCCAATTTATTGTTTAGAATTCCTTAAATTTTTTCAGCGACATTTTTTTATATTGCACTGTATTAGTTGACAAAACAAACAAATGAAACATCTGTAATTGAGTGTTTTTCACAATCAAACATGAAATGGATTGACGCAGTGAATGTTTACATTTTAATATGTAGCAAAATATGTTTTACTTTTTCGGAAGATACAATGTTATTGCATGCTGTAACAATGTTCTTGGATTTTGCATGTTGTTTTGTTTTTGTGGATATTAAATAGTTACATTTTGTGATGGCATTTTATTAACTCTTTCCCCGCCAGCGTTTCTGAAACAGCAGTTGCCAGCCAGTGGCAGCATTTTTTTTTAATAATTTTCACAAAAGTTTCATAGCCCCCAGAATATTTTGTTGTATAAATATCTGAACATGCAATATTTCAAAGGAAAGAACAGAGCCTCGTGCATTTCTTTTTTTAATCAACATTTGAATGTGGGTAAGTTTAATAAAAATAAAGAAAAGCAACATTTTGAGCAAACGATGCAGAACGTTGATCAAAACACAGATGGAGTAGATCAAGTCCATCAACACCCCCAAAGCTTCACAGTCCTGTAGCTCGTCCTGGGTCGACTTTTCATTCGGAACGTCTGTGGGGACAATTTTGATTTATATGCTGTTTAATGTTGATGATCGCATTCATTTTCATATGCATCTGCTTACATATGCTATCGCTTGTTTCTGCTTCTTCTTTGCCTGTGTTTTAATAAGGGGATTCAGTATTCTTTCAGAAGATGCGTAATAGCGCCCCCTACTGTATAACAGTGAAAACACAGAAAGCCGGAACAGTCAGTCAATGGCGGGGAAAGAGTTAAGTTATTATTATTAAAAAAAAATTATGATATTGTATTTGCCTGTTGTTTTTGTATTAGACTACATTTTAATATACGTCCTGATAACATCTAATAACTATTTTAAGGATTGTAAGCGTAGTTATTTAAGGGATTGTAATGTTTTGGCAACCTCAGCAGATGAGAGAAATAGATTGTCCACGTTTGCCTCTCGGCTTTCAGGGGCAACAAAGATCCTTCACTATGTGCTCTCTAGCCTAATCCTCACCTCTCCAAAACAAATGAAAAGAATCCCAATCTACTCTCTGGACTTGTACACCACACTAAGTTTTCTTGAAAGGGTAATCTATTATATGTGATCTACAAATCATCCAAAGACTATTAAAGTGTCTGAATATAACATGAGTTCTTCTTTTATTCATTTGTAGGGCTTGTTTTGTGTGTTTTATGGAGGCTTCAGGCCAATAAGAGACAATCAATTATTACTTATTTTTTATGCAAATGTGTAGGCTAATTAAAATTATATACATTATAAAACTGATACAAGAGCAGGCAAAAAGAAATGGTGTAGGATTTACTTTGAAAACATTTTCACTCAGAAATTGTTAAGTTTCACAGATATAAATAATGTTGTGATTATATGATGGTGTTTCAGAAGGGTTCAAACAAAATATTTTAAACTTGTGAGATATCTATTATCTGTCTTTAGAATAACCTCTTCTGTGTTGCCTAAATATCAAGGACATTTTGATTTTCCATTCCATGACCCTTTTAAGTATGTAGCCTAATGCTAAAGTACTATTTTGTACACTTTTCAGAGCGCACTAGCAAAAAGGTGTTTCAGAGCTAACAGACTACGGATAGCCAGATTTACTAACAGCTTGTGCCAGTGAAAACCCTCTTTTGGCATTAAAAAAAAACGCACACAGGAAGAAATTGTGAAACAATTGCACAGTTATTTTTGTGGCTGAGCTTATTGCGTATGCATTTGTAGGAGTTTACCTTTCAGACGCAAAATGTATTTAAGTAAGTATTAAAATATATTCTGCAACATGATTAAGGTTTGTGGAAGTCAATTTACTGATTTAACACCCGAAAAATCTTGGTAACGCTTCCTTTTACAGTCCTGTTACCCATGTACTTACTGTGTACTTATTATAGTAATTATAATTACTGGGTAATAACTAGGTACTAACCCTGAACCTACCCCTAACCCATGTACTTACCTTATATTAGCCAGTACTTTCTAGGTAAGTACACTAAAAGTACTGTACTGTAAAAGAAAGCGTTACCAAAATCTTAATGTTGCTCTTGACATGCTGCGATAGTTGCTAAAAAGGATCCGCAGAGAAACCGAGGGCGCGTGGTAGAAGAGATTTTCTCCACTCGTGTTCATTTATTTGGAATGCCAGAGGAAGACGTTATCCAAATATATTGTTTGCTGAACCACATTTCTTTTTTTTTTCGATATAGAAACGAGTTGGCTGTGTCGGTTCTTTAATATGCGCATCACCCGCAGGACTTCTGCGCTTTTATGGGATTGCGGTTTCACTCTAATATGTTTAAATAAATCTGACCTAAAGACTTGGGTTAAAAAAAAAACTCAAATCTTGATTTCATGGTAGAGAAACATGTGGAGAACTCCACTGGTTTTTACATTGCCTGAAAGGTATAGCAGCTGCAGAGAGAGGAGTTAAAAGGGTACGATATGGTTAAGAACTAATACAGATGTGACCTTTAGAAAGAGCTGGTATAGGGAACGAGAGCGTGAGCGAGGGAGGGATGGAGTTTCAGCAGCTGAGTGATCTCCTGAAGGTCAGATCATGCATGGACTGCTGCTATCGAGAACCTCTTTATATAGCTTTCCACACGCCAGGCCTAAGGACAGCTTCACTCAATTGTGTGAATGTTTGTGCTGGTCCTAAAGTTGATTTGTTCCTCCCCGTAATCTTCCTTTTATTAATCTCACTTTCTCTCGCACATTCACATATAGACAAAGATGTGTTAATAAAGGGCATTACGAGTGTGTCTCGTGCATGTGGCCCTGTCAATCATCTCAGTATGTTCCTCTGTGGAGAGAATGGTGTGAGTGTACATGTGACCACACAACGGAGACCAGCTGTTACTCTGTTACTCAACTAACTCTAATTCTCTCCGGTGGATCCGGCGACTGCAGCTCCGAGTTTGAAGGGTGTCCCTCTCTGTGATCTTGAATCCTGGACCTGTTAAGTGTTGGAATCTTAGGTGGATACAAACACATTCTTAAAGACTGGACTGGCTGGTTTTCCCTGTTGCATTTGTGTGAGGGAGTGAAGGCAAGATGGCAGTTTCACGCAGCTGGCTGTTAGGGCTTATCATAGCTCTGCTTTGCACTGGAGCACAGGCCCAAGAAAGGCTCCAAAGTGAGGAAGCCGAGGAGCTGGGAGGTCTGGAGACTACTGGAGGTGAGAAAGAGGAGGTGGATGATGAGGAGGAAGGTGGAAACGCATCGGAAGAAGCAGCTGATGGCACAGGAGGAGATGGGGAAGAAGAGAGAGCTCCTGAGGAAGAGGCGTCTGAAGTGGAGGAAGCTGAGGAAGATGATGAGATAGGAGTAGAGGAAGAACAAGAAGCTGCAGAGGAAGATAATGAGACTGGAGGAGTAGATGAACAAGAAGAAGCAGAGGAAGGTGAGAGAGAAGTAGTGGAAGATGATGAGACAGGAGGTGTAGAAGATGAACAAGAAGCTGCTGAGGAAGATGAGAGAGGAGGAGAAGATGATGAGACGGGAGGAGTAGAAGATGAAGAGGAGGAAGAAGCAGATGAAGAGGAAGAAGCAGACGAAGAGGAGGAAGAAGCAGACGAAGAGGAGGAAGAAGCAGATGAAGAGGAAGAAGCAGACGAAGAGGAGGAAGAAGGAGACGAAGAGGAGGAAGAAGCAGACGAAGAGGAGGAAGAAGCAGATGAAGAGGAGGAAGAAGCAGATGAAGAGGTGGAAGAAGCAGATGAAGAGGAGGAAGAAACAGATGAAGAGGAGGAAGAAGCAGATGAAGAAGAAGCAGAAGAGGAGGAGGAGGAGCAGATGGAGGTGGATGTAGAAAGATTAGCAGAAGATGAGAAATCAGCACAACAGACAGCAGAGGAAGAAGAGGAAGAGACAGAAGAGGAAACAATAGCTGCTGATGAAGATGAAGAGACTGTAGTTGAGGATGAAGGTAATACTGAATTAGCCTTTACAGAGAATCAATGTCATGTGCTCTAACATACAAATGCTTATTTTTGTGTGTATCACTCTAATCACTGGTTCCTATTGAGCTGCCACATCCTGACTGAAACTGAACCTCATCAGTGACTGATCTGGAATGTAGCAGCTCTGTGTGTCAAACAAATAGCTCTCTTCTCAGATTCAACTCACTATTCAGTTGATTTCAATGGAATTTACCATTAATATGTTGCTAGACTAAAAATGTGATGCTCTAATAGGCATAAAAAACGTATTCAAATTATTCCGTTTATAAATCAATGCTTTTCATTATTTCTTTGTTCATCTACCATCTTCAATGGCTTTTTTTCAATAGTCTGTCTCAATGAATGATGAGATTGGTCAAAGGAAGGTAACTTGAAGGTAAAATAATTATTGTTTCTACATGTTAGGATGGACCTATACCTTAACCCTGTAAGGCCTGATATATTAGGTAATAGTCAGAACATTTTAGAAAAAGTTTTTTTTAAGTCTCATATTTGATCAGGCTTTTATGGCTCATATGGTAAAAATATGGCCAAAAATATTAAATACAGAAGCTATTGACAGTTAAGCAACTACCACTTTGATGCTTCAAAAAGTTCATAAAGAGATTGTAAAACTAATCCAAATTTTTCTGAAGAGACACGATCGCTTTATGAGGCGGATTCCCAGATAGAGATTAAGCCTATAGTCCTAGTCTCAAATGGGCTTTTAAACCAGATTAACAGAAATCTGCTTTCACTGTCATGGTTTTAAATAGCCCTAGATTTAGTCTAGTCCAGCGTTTGATAAGATGATTTCCTGGAGGAAGACTAGAGTTACTCCAGGACTAAATTGAGACTTAAATTAAACCTACCAGGAGGCAGATTTAACTTCAGATTAATGTTGTGAACAGCATCAAAAAATCATTATACATACATTGTAGTATACTTGGAAGTATACATGTGTGTATGTATAAATAATTTTTTTTTTATGCTGTTCACTTCATTTAAACAATTCATTTTTGGTTTAACGCCATTGTATCAAGTTTCTGGTTCAAATCGAATTGCTTCATGTTAAATTGACTTGAAACTGTTACTGTTTTACTGAAATTGATGTTTTCATTTTTAAATAACATGTTTCAGTCAAGTAACCCAATCAAACAGGAGTTTCTCTTCCCATCATGCTTTGCACAGGGCTGAATTGGGATGCATTTTTTAGCAAGATGAGAAAATGGAGAGACCTTTTAATGTTTACTATTCTATTGTTGGTATTTAAAAGGTTCTGTTTTGTTAGTGTTTTGGGGGGTTAGCATTGTGGTGAAGTGTTGATCTTGTGCTTGGGTTGAGGACCTGCTGACAAGACTTCTAATTGCTTTAATAATAAAGCAATCACTATGATAATGCTCTAGATGAAACCATTATCATTTCTAGTCTGCCAACACTGAACATCACATGTGTAAAGAACAGTTATGTTTAGTTTGTTGTTCTGTAAATCACAGGACTAAACAAGAAGCATTAAAGATTATTTGAAAAAATCAATTTAAATGAAAACCGTTAATTTAAGTTAAACTAAAAAACCATTTACACATATACAGTACATTATATTTAGAATCTATCTATTCTATATAATTCATTACAATCAGATTTCCAGACAATCATTTTCTTTTATTCCACAGCTGATGTGTGCAGTTTATTTTGATTGCTTTAAAATTTAAAAAGGTTTTTTTTATTGCAGTCTTTTTTCAACTGCATTTGCTTCTCAGTTCCATGCAATTTTAAGCTTTTCCTGGTTCATTCCATGTTTTATAGGCAATCTCTGTCATGTTAATTCAGATTAGCATAGTCCAGCTAATCTGTGTTTCAAAAAGCCATTTTTAAGTCACAATTAACTATTCTAGATTAAGGCCTACTCCTGTCTTAATTTAAACCCTGTCTGGGAAACCGCCACATATGATGAACTTAGTCTTTTATTCACAAATAAACATTCATCAACTCACACATCAGTTGTGGTAAACAGGAGCTCAAGCATGTTCTTTTTGAAGTGTCAATAGTTGCGTAGCTGTCGATGGAGGGACAGAAAGCTCTCAGATTTCATCAGAAAGATGAGACATGAGGGTAAGTAATTAATGACTGAATTTTCATTTTTGGGTGAACTATCCCTTTAAGAACTATCAATCAGAATTAATCATGAAGTTGATTATATGTACAACATGCTTTTTTAGCAGTTTTGATCATGTTGATACTTTAGAGGCCTTTAAAAATGGCTGTTTTTATACAGTAGGCTTTATAGGGTTGTGCTGTCTGCGTAGGCATTTCACTAGGTTTTGGAACACAGCCATTGTTGGCTGTCTACAGTCCTGTGTATACCCTTCAGTTAGGCTGTGAAGTCACACGTGAGCCCTAAAATAGCTCACTATATCTGAACAGCTACCGCAGCCGAAATATTCCAACCACTTTAAGTCCTTTCTGGTTGAATGCTGTTGACATGCACCTAACAAATGGCATATATGTTACATGGTATCACATGACTGTATGGCCACCAGTGAAACCTAGGATCCGGCGTTAACTTATCAAGGTAAAATGTACGAGTACAAAGTACATTTCCGTTTTAGCTGCCATTTGACATAGAACAAAGAAACCATACCTATTATCTATTAAACCAACTACTGTCCGATGAATATATTCTTTACCAAACTTACAGCAATTAATGGCAGTTTCAATGAATGGAGCAGGAAAAATGGTCTGAAGCAATTTATCAAACAAATAAACCGTGAAATAATGTTGACTACAGACAGGAGTTGTTGAACCCAGTTGTACAATAAAATTGTGATTGACTGATGGTTTAGATTGAGCTTTATCTTAGCAAGGTTCAGCTGAAAAGTGGCGAAGATGTCCGAAAGGCCTGAGAGCTGGCACCCTCTGCGTAGGAGTGATGTGCCTTTATGATTTCCCTCTGTCGGGTTGTGTGCATATCAAGAATAAGAAAGGACTCAGCACTGAACCTTGCACCCCAGTGATTAGCTGATATGTCTTGGACACAAATTCTCTCCAGAAACCTGAGAGTTGACTGAACACAACTCTTTCAAGAGCTCGTGACAGAAAGTTGGCAGGACTATTCTGTAGCTTTCAACTGTTGCACGGTTAAGTGTTGTTCCTGAGCCTGCTTAAATAAGGTGGGGAAGTATTAAGAGATGTATTAAGAGATGCATTGATGTGAGAGAGTGGAGTTGAAGAGATCTCTTGTTAAAGATCCTGTGATTAGTTTGCATGTGTCTGAAGTGTTGCTGATCTTGTTTCGGTAGTAAGTGACCTTGGCAGCAGAAACAACAACAGGAGGAGAAGGAGATGAGGGATTTATACTTGCAGTAATTGCATTAGTCAGCAGTAATGAAGTGTGTGACAGATAACTGGAGAAAGGGGTAGTAAGAGAAATGCAAGGAAGTGATAAGATTATTAGGGATATAGTTACGGGTAAAGGCCCCGATATACTCACGGCAAAGTTATTTTTCGTTCTTTGCTTAGTTCCTATTCAAACTTTGAAATACTTTTACGGTTAGCAAACATCCCAAAGATTCCCACACTGCTTGGAGCGGCATTTAGCTGCAGAGTTTAAGGTGCTGTATGTAATTTTTTGACCGTACTAAAGCATAGAAATACCGTAATATGTTTGCAGATATTCAGGAAACATGCTAAGTTCGCATACTCATTTCTTTGTAAAACAATGCTACAGCCAGTTATTTTACTTTGAAATGTGTGTTCTGTGTCGGGATGTCTTTTTTTGTATTGGTCTGTGTGATCCCGCCCACTTCCAATTTACCCAAAAATATTTCGACACCACAGGTTGCCAGTTGGCAAAAACACAGCATTTTGCATCCATGGAAGCCGGCAAATGAACTGGGTCAGAGATTGCAGATTGTACCCGAGCTAAAAAGCCTCGGCATCCATCTAAAAATCTCTATGAACGGGAGCATATTAAAACGCAGATAAATCAACTCATCAACTTGCAGTGTGTCTTCTCGCCTTCCGTTGTTAAGTGCACTCGTTCCTGTTGCGTGTCCTCAGACTGGCAACCCGCGTGAGCGTCGAGTCTGAGGAGGAGGTGGCGGGGAATTTTGGAAATATTTTGAATTTGGACTGCAGTACCCATTTCAACCGCTAGCTGTCAATATTACATACTGTACCTTTTAGCTGCAGCACACATGCCAGCCTGGAAATTTCTGGTGGGCTTGTCCTAATACCCACACTTGCGTCACAGATGTATTTAATTAGGGCTGGAGCTAAGTTCTGCTGAAAGGCACAGGATTGGACACCCCTGGTGTAGGCAGCACCATTGCTGGTAGATCCATGTAGTCTGATTTGCAGGTTTTGACACGATGAAAGCTACCACTTACTCTTAAGAATCAACTACTAGTACTTGTTCATTTAGAGCTGAGCCTAACACTGTTCTAACCAGGCGCAACAAGCCTGACAGATACTTTTTTCTTACGGTTTAAATGTACCTTTGGTGCCTTACCCATTACTAATGAAGACCTTTGTTAAACCCCATCTTTCCCTCGTGCTGTAGAAACTGCTGAGGAGGAAAATGTAGAGTCAGAAGAGGTGGTCTCCAAGGAGGATGAACAGTATAGATCAGGCTCTTTCTGTGGCCTTTGCTCAGTCTGCGAGGTAAACCATGCTTCTACCACACTTTTTACTGACTTACACATTCCACAGCCTCAACATATGTTAAGGAGTTTCAAACAAACTCAACAATCATGTAAAACATCATGCCATGATCAGTGCATGAGGTATTAATATATTTTTGCCACATTCCAAACCCACTTGCATGACACATGCTGAAGTACAGATCTGGGCTGCATCTGAAATCACATACTTCCCTACTACATAGTAGGTGAAAAACAGTATGTACAAAAAAAAAGTATGTCCGAATTCACAGTACTCATAAAAGAGTTGGCAAAAAGTACCTGGATGACCTATTTCTTCCAGTGAGATTCTGAAGTGCATATGATGGACTCTTTGCTACCCCATGAGGAGAGGATGTATGAATGGCTGTGAAGCGATGCAACTGATGCTGTTAGGTCACATGATAATGACAACATCGCGAATGTAGTACATCCAGATTACATTCATACTACACACATTCATACTACTGTATATAGAATATACTTTTTTAGTGGCCGTGAAGTAATTACTTATTCAAAATAAGTAGCTACTCAAGAGAATATGCGATTTCGGACGTAGCCCTGGTGTGATCCCTTCCTAAATCCCCCCAGTAAAGGGCAGAGATGTAACTTACTCAATCTGAGTCTGGCTCTCTCTTTCCTCTCAGCACTGCAGTAGCTGTGACAAATGTCCCTGTGAGGAAGGAGACACGTCAGCACACTGCCATCACTGTGAAGTAAGTGTTACTTCTTAATATTATCAAAATCCATATTAATACACACAACCGAACAATACATCTAATTTTAACCTTTAAAAAAGTCCATGAAGATGTTATGCATCAAACTACCCTCTTACATTTCATTTCTCCTTCCACAGGGTTGTTCATACTGCTACATTTGTCCGGTGATCTGTGAGACCGTCTGCCAGCCAGGTAGGATACTGCTAATAGGATGCACACTTTCAATTAATGCCAGAGTTTCAACGTTTTGGAAAATTTCAGTGCATAGTTTATGCTGATCCAAAAAAAAATTCAGAACTATATATTTTATGTAATTACTTTCAGTGTTTTTGGATTATATTTAGGAAATGTTTGTTTTTAGGAGGAATTCTTGATGTATTGAGCGGTTCTCTCTACCAGTAAGGATATAAAATCTATCCAGACTTTACTTGCAGAAAAATCACATTCATATTCAATATTCATTCATACCTGTTATCATTCATATCGTTCGTTTTGTGTGTGTGTGTTTTGTTCTGTTTTTGTCCTCATCTTCACCTACAGGACTGTGAACACATTACTCTGAATACATTTGGTGTTGTTCACAGCGCCATCTTTTGGTGAACAGAGGAACTACAGACTAGTGGTCAGATCATTCACTTGTAGGCCTGTTTATTTGACTGACCAGATCAGGGGATTTTCACCATGAGGCCAATAATGGGAGTGGACAACCTACTGCACCCTAGATATAACTGAGGAACTACCAGGACCCTAATGTTTACCATTTAATGGCACTTTAAAGGTGACTTTACATGCTGTGCTAAATGAATAACAATTAAATTTGATTAAGTGCAAAGGTTCTCGTATAAAATTGTACAATATCACTGTTTTTGACTGTATTTTTGAGAAAATAAATGCAGCCTTGGTGAACAAGACTCTTCTTTTATATAGATGTATAAAATCATACTGACCCCAAGCTTTTGAATGGTATATACAAGACAGAATAATAATAGTGAAAAAGTTCAGGTCAATGTCTAGTTTTATAAATATGTGTCTGTTCATCATAAAGTGTCATTCTGTTTTCAGATTACTCACTCATAAATTGTACCCATTTATTGAGATTGAGACTGTGTGAATAAACAGGATATACACAGTCTCAATCTCAATAAATGGGTACAATTTATGAGTGAGTAATCTGAAAACAGAATGACACTTTATGATGAACTGACACATATTTATAAAACTAGACATTCTGTTTTCAGATTACTCACTCATAAATTGTACCCATTTATTGAGATTGAGACTGTGTGAATAAACAGGATATACACAATACAGTATTAAAGAAATAGTTAAATGCCATACAGTATGTCTCAATTTGTAGTGCAGAAACATTATTATATTATACAAGTTTTTGTACACTTTTTCCCTCAGCTTACTGTAATTATGTCTATTCAACATATTTGATCGCTTTTTATTATTTCCTATTAAAGGGTTAGTTCACCCAAAAATGTAAATTCTTTCATTATTTACTCACCCTCATGTTGTTCCAAACTTGTATGAGTTAATCTATTCTGCTGAATAAAAAAGAAGATATTTTAAAGAAGGCTGGTGACACTTGACGGTAGCCACTGACTTCCATAGTAGGAAAAAAAATTACTGTAGTCAATGGTAACCGTCAATTGTCTGGTTACCAGCCGCCTTTAAAATATATATTTTTTGTGTGTTCAGCAGAAGACATGAGGGTGAGTAAATAATGACATAATTTTCCTTTTTGTGTATGACGGCATCATGGCAGCAAATGTTCAAGGTGGCTTCTTGGATGGATTTTTTGTCCAGGTCAAAGTCCGATTGAGATGCTGGGCATGACCTTAAACGGGCCATTCATACTGGAAAATCCTCCAATGTGAAAGACTTATTGCCAGTTATAACAAACACTTGTTTGCAGTTGTTGCTGCCAAGGGTGGCATAACCAGTTATTAGGTTTTGGGGGCAATTACTTTTTCACATTAGTCTGTCCTAACCTGTCCTAACCTGCCATGCAGGTTAGGACAGCATTTTTCCCTTAATAAATGAAATCATAATTTAAAAACTGCATTTTGTATTTACTCAGTCAGTCATATTTATTTATAGAGCACATTTAAAAACAACAACTGTTGGCCAAAGTGCTGTACAAAGTGTAGACGGGTATCCTAATGAGTAAACATAAAACAAATAAACAATACACTACAATTTATACCACTAGGCGCACTCATGGCCATAGGCATCAGTAAAAAAAAAAGTGGGTTTTAAGCAGTGATTTAAAATCAAAGCTGTGGAGCGGCCACTGAAAAGACACGATCACCTTTCAATTTTAAACGAGTCTTTTGAACAGTCATCTGTAGATTTCTGGTTGACCTAAGTTTTCTAAATGCATTATGGTGGGCTGAAAGGAGATCAGAGATGTATGGAGGAGCCAGACCATGCAATTCCTTATAAGCAAACAATAATGTTTTGAACTCAATACGATGTTTAACATGGGAGCCAATGGAGAGCGAACAATACTGGTGAAATATGTTCGCTTTTCCTTGTTCCTGCAACAGTCTTGCAGCAGCATTTTGCACTAGTTGAAGATGTGACAAAAGGGATTGTGAAACACCCAAATATAGTGCATTGCAGTAGTCTAATCTTGATGAAATAAAAGCAAAAATGTACCACAGACTCCATATCTTTGGGTGATAAAAATGCCTTAATTTTCGCAATATTCTTTAACTGATAAAAGCAATTTCTGACCACACCACTGACCTGTTTGTCAAAAGTCAGAGCAGAGTCAAAAGTAACGCCCAGGTTTCGAACATGTTTATGGAGATTTCCAGCTAAAGGTCCCAGTTTACTGGCAGCAACCTCTGTGGAAGTAGAGGAGCCAAAAATTAAGACTTCCGTCTTGGAATTATTTAACTGAAGGAAATTGGCAGACATCCACTGTTTAACGTCTCTCAAACAATCGAACAGACACTGCAAACTAGAGTCATCCTTTGGATGTAAAGGAACATAACACTGAGTTTCATCTGCGTAGCAGTGGTATGATACATTATGCTTGCTGAAAATAGTATACAACGGGAGCATGTATAAGGAAAATAAAACAGGACCAAGGATCGAGCCCTGCGGAACCCCATACAAAACCGGTGCACGAGATGATAAGTAATTGCCCGTCTCTACTGAGAAGATTCTATCCTTTAAAAAAGAAGCAACCCAATTCAAAGCACGACCTTGGATCCCAATTTGCTGTAAACGCCTTAGAATGCCATGATCATGTCTGACGCTTTTGACCATACGTCAACATCCGACGTTTTAGGGTACCCTTTAACGTCAGTTAGATGACGCTATCTAATCCTAACCCTACCCCAGACCTAAACCTACCCGCTATAGGAGAGGGATCAGGATATAAATTAGAATTGGATTTAGCACATTATTTATGGTATAGTATTTTTGGACTGTGTGCATTTTTAGCAATGAGATCTGAAAAATGTTTTGCTTTGCAAACTTAACAGCTTTTTGATATTGGATCATACAATCTCTAACACATTCATAAGATATTTGTAATTTGTCCCTCTTCCACTTCCTTTCAGCTTTCCTCCATTTCTGTCTAATATCCCTAGTTTCATCGTTAAGCCAAGGGTATGCACGACTTCTAGTTCTCTTCAATTTAAACGGGGCCACGGCATCCAGTATGTTTAAACATTAAATATTAAACTTATTCACCAACTCAACTGGATTTGCTCCAAAACAGTTTGACTCGATTTCTTGAGTTTCTGGGGAACTAATATAAGCCCGGGTAATATAAAACTACTCGGGTAATATTTGTTTGATGATCTGAATAATTTAAGTCTGACAAATATGCAAGAAAAAAAAAAAAAAAAAAAAAAAATCAGGTAGGGATTTAGGTAGGCTATACGTATATATTTTTATATATACGTGTATATTTTTGCTGGGAAAAATAATTTGCCACCTTCCTGATTATTATTATTATAATTATTATTTTTGCATAGGCTATTTGTCAATCTTAAATGATTAAGATCATCAAACTAATTTTTATACATATGGTGAAGTGGATCAAAAAAGTTCATCAAAGTTGTCCTAAGACAAGAACAGGTAGGCTATTGTTGTAATTCATATATAACTTTGATGAAAGGTTTTGATCCACTTCAAATGTTGACTACTATATATAGACACACACACACACACACACACACACACACACACACACACACACACACACACACACACACACACACACACGACTCGAGCACTGTACCTAGAGGATATCTGTGTGTTTATCTCTGCTCAGGTGATGTGTATATCAGGTGATTTTTTTGTATCTTACTGTCATATTATTCACAAGAATTAGCCCTTCCTCATTGTCTCCCTCTATCTCTTCTTGAATCTTTACCGCAGTCTGTGTCTTGTCTTATCACACACTCTTACAGCATCCTGCACATTTTTACTGAATTCCTTTGGGCAGCAGGTGTAGCAGACTTGTGATCTGATCATGTGACCACATACACACGCGCCTCTGCTAAATCAGTGCAATCAGTAAAATTATGTGACATGTCATAGCATTTTTCAGTCAACTTATTCCCTTGTGACTTTTCTTTTATTGAAACTGCTCAGATTCCTGACAAAAATGTCTTTTGACGTTTATCGGCCACAGCAATCTCTCACAACTGCGATGTCCTTACGTCTGCTGCTCTCACGGCTGACGTTTCATCACCTGCAGGTAATTGTTCATTTGATATGAACGATTTATGTTTCTGCCCCTGGGTGCCCACACCCGATGCCGAAACCATGTATGTCTTTCCTTACTTTATTGAAATCTTGCAAGTGCAAATACATTACCAACTGAATAGAAACACATCTTTATTCCATGAGAAAATGATGTAAAAATACAAAAGCTGTTATTTTAATTATTGTCATTTGGAAAAACAGCAATACAATTTAATGCCCCAATAAAAAAATAAAAAAAAGTAATTTATTGTACATTATTGATATATTTGGTTATATTCTAGGACAAAAATATGAAATCAACTATCTACTGTACTTACCCATACTGAAGGCTATCCAGCCAACAGTCTGACTAAGCAGGTTATGCTGGTCTGTTTTGCTTGTTTTAGAGGGATTTTCTGCTGGTTAACCAACTATAAAAGCTAAACACCAGCTCGATCTGCTGTAAACCAACTGATACGTTTTGGAGAACATAACATTTGTTTATTTGGGAAAAATGTATTTTGATGGTCCCTTCTGGACATTCTGTTGACTATAAGTAACTTTGCAACTATAGAGGGTATGCGCATGACGTCACCGTCGGCCGGAGTGAATGCGGTCACGCCCACAAGTGACAAAAAGACTGAGCGGCAGCATTTGTTTTCAGCGTGAATGCCGTGAAAATCACACAAAACACATCCAAAACGGGAAAGAGCTTTGCGATTGACTGTACAACTAGATTTGACCAGAAATCTGAGGTACTGTATATTTTTACAGACTGCAAAAAGCTACAGAACAGACTATATTCTGCATAATTGGATGTTTTTAAATAAACACTGACAAAAAACTATACAAGTTTTAGGGCTGGACGATATGATGATATACAGTATAACATTAATGTAAGTGATCACTCAGATTTAGACCTATCTATATTGTATTTATATAAAACGTTTACAGGCAAATTGTCTTCATTTAATTCCCCGGCGTCGAAATCAGGCACATATAAATGTCAGGAAACACGATTCCTGGCTGCATGTCAATATCCATGGATCACTGGATCTTTGATAAGTTGTAAGGAACACTATATCGAGTCCAACTTTTAGTTTAAACTGATAATAGTTTGTTTTACTCGCGTTAACGCAGTTCTCTTACGAGAGTATCTCTCGTACTGCGTAATAGCTTACGCTAGGGGAAAA